TCAATTTCGTGAAGAGAGACAGTGTGAACAACCTCCTTCCGTTTCTGTAGTTCTCCCTCTGGACATTGCACAAACTGTGTCTGAAATAAACAACAAAAACAGTGTATATTAAAAAAATACTCTCAGGGAAAAGTTGTCATTGATTGATGGATTCATTTCACAGAGGAAGAGAGAATGTGTACCTGTGCACCCATGGCGTCGTAATCTCTTGCTCGAGTAAATGACCGTCCCAGTTTGCTAATCTTTCCTGTGGCTTTATCAATGGTGATCACATCTCTGCAGAATATGAAAAAGGTGTCATCCTTTAAGGATATAAGCAGTGGAAAACCTAAAACTATGTGGTTTGGCTTAAGCCTTTTTATGACTTATATGCACTCATCTCATATACCCATCTCACTATATGTATGTATGTGTATATGCATTATATACACACACTACAAACTTACCATAAAGCAAATACATCATCCTTAAGGATCTTGTAACACTCCAAAGAGAAAGGAAAACTTGAAATCGCATCATATGACCCCTTTAATTAATAATCTTTTATCAACATTATATATTTAAAATTAATAATAATAATAATACAACTCAAGGGCTTATTACTAGAGTTCATATCTCATCTAAGCTCATCAAATGTTTCAGTAATTCAGTTCAGTTGTTACGATTAACACAAATAGTGGGAGAAGCTGGGTGGCAGTCCAGTCTGTTCAATTTGTTTTATACAGAAAAGGGTATCACAAATTTCAGCTTTATTATCTACCCACCCAGCTTGTACTCTCTCTTTACTGAGGCTCTCAATCATCTTGGTCCCCAGATCATAGATGGTTTCCATCTCTGTCGTCTTCAGCGTGAGCTTCCCCACTTTTGCACCCTTAATACAAATACAGAAAGGAGAAAAAATGATTCATGTCTAACTGAGTTCACTTAGGGACATCTCCTAGCTTCACACTGAGCACTATTTTGGGACCGGAGTCCTACGTTCAACTTATCAACGTAGCTGAAAATTTATTTCTCACTTTCATAATAACAAAAAGTTAATTTCCCACTAAAGAATGATAAATATCTTTAATAACGCCTTTCAGCCAAATAAATGTATTGAATTAGAGCGTGTTCAGGAAAGTATGCTGTGTGATGAAATTCTCATTTACTTCAGCTTCTCAAGGTACGTCAAATGTTAAAATAACCATGAAATAAAAACAGGCAATTCTTATTTTTAATGGAATAAAAATATTAATTATGTATCCACGACGTACATTATTATTGTTTTAAAAAAAAAGTTTCACTCAGTCAACATTAACCTGTAAACTACAGCTGCCACTATAGACAAAGTAATGTTAGTCTTTATTTTTTAGAGTTTTAAAAAAAAGTTTATTTATATTAATTAAAATTATTTTAAACAGATGATGAGTCTGGTGCCGTAAGAACAATGGTAACAAAACAGAGAAATTAATTCAGTAAATCTGCCCTATGAAGAGCAGAGACTTACAGTTCCTGTAGCAGGTCTATCGATCTGAATCTCTACCACCTCTCCTTCAATGATCTCAGTCTCCTCTCTGCCAAACAATAAACACAGAACATGAGCAGTCATGCTATAATTTCTGAAATATTAAATAAACTACATACTAGAACTCTTAAAAAAAACAAAGTAAGTGAGTAAACTATTCTTTAAAATCCATAATCAGTAAATCATTTAATATCCATTTGAAGACAGCCTACTATCCCCCTTCTTTAATATGTCATACAAGGTTCTTACACCTTTTCCAAATTCAAATTCAAGCACTTTTTAAGCACTTTCAAGGTGCATTTTCAAGCTTTTCCAGCACTTTAAACTGTGGTAAATTACAGGTTTACACACACATACTTGAGTTTTTCACTATAAATCAGGGCCCCGTATTCACAAAACATTTTATCTTACCACTAAGAGTTCTCCTAAATAGCAGTAAAAGTTTTTAGCTTAACTTTAGTTAGCTTTAGTTTTTAGCTTAAACGAAAATCCCATTGAAACTTCTTTGAAGGCAGTCGGTTCACTTCAGAGATGCATTAATATAAAATCACCCGAGCTGCATTTTGACTTTGAAATGTTTATTTTATTATTTCACTTTAATCGCGACAGTCTTAACATATTTAGTTTAACTGAGCAGGGGCATTTTTGCTTAGCTTTTACACTGCTTGAAAGCGCACTTTTCCAATGAAAAAAGCAGACTTAACAGGAGACTTTACATTATTTTTTTAACCATAATTTGCATTTGTCGTTTTCAAGCCAACGCTGACTGAAGCAGCAACCTCTCGATATGTTTTTATCTCCCGCTCTGCTCCATCAGATGCACGTGTCAATAAAGACCGGCGGATCAACAATATACAGCCACACGCGCAGACTCGAGCAGAGCTGTTTTCATTTTATGCAAAAGGAATTTGAAGTAACGTTATTCAGTAATAAAGCAACTTATTAGAAAACCAATGCAATTGCAATTTCAAGCAGTTTCAAGCACTTTATCCAAAATCCAAGCACTTTTCAAACCTTGAAAAACACTACTTTAAAATTCAAGCATTTTCAAGGATTTCAAGCACCCGTACGAACCCTGCTCATAATCCCAAAGTGACAACGTTATTCAGTAATAAAGCAACTTATTAGAAAACCAATGCAATTGCAATTTCAAGCAGTTTCAAGCACTTTATCCAAAATCCAAGCACTTTTCAAACCTTGAAAAACACTACTTTAAAATTCAAGCATTTTCAAGGATTTCAAGCACCCGTACGAAGCCTGCTCATAATCCCAAAGTGACGATATGCACATTACATGTTTGAAAGTTATTCTTTTTTCTTAATGAAGACTTTATGCTGCTTCACACTTCAGTCGGCCTCACTCACTTTATCCTGACTCCTATGGCTTTGCGGAAGGCCTGGCTCAGAGCTTCGGTCTTGCTCATCTCCAGAGAGAAAATCTCACTCCCAGCCAGAGCAGTGAAAGGTGTGTCAGGGCCAAGAGACTGGGCAATACCTGTACAATAAACACAACTCACTGGTTATTTTACAACGGCTTTGCAATTTTGATACATACATTTTTGACACATACCATTACTGTGCCTGTAAGTCAACTCAACCTCAAGTGCATTTATTGAACCTTGTAAATTAACTCTACGTTTCAAATGTGATTAATCATGATAAATATATGCAAAAACTCACCCATAGCAATAGCAGTCTTGCCCGTCCCAGGTTGGCCAGCGATGAGGACTGCACGACCAGCAATCTGACCATCTTTGATCATTTCAAGGATCAGGCCGGCTGCCCTTCGAGACGCCAGCTGACCCACCATCCCCTGAGACACCTGGTGAGACAGAGGTTCATCATTTGTATGTCGTTTTATTCTAAACTTGCAGTGAACAATATTTGAGCCAAAGACAAGTATGTTGTCACTGGTAAATCAACTATAAACATTGAACATTACCTGCCGTGGCTCCAAGGCATCATTTAACCCAAGGCCACGAATGTGAGAGTGTGCGCCTGTGAGAGAAATCAAGATTTATGTCACTTATCAGCATATTTACTTGTTCTTGCAAATAGCTATTCTGGTAGCAAAAACTAATTAATTCTTGCTTTTTATTGTTACTGTGGGTTATTTAGTTTCTCACCAATCCTCTCAATTCGAGTGATGTCTCGCACCTCCGGAACCTTCGTGGTTGCCACCTTTCATAAATTAAAAAGGTAAATATAATGCAAGTGAAAATGTACGTACAATGTAAATGTGAAAATTAAATATTAAGCTGCGTTTTAATGTCATCTTTATGTAATTTGATCAGTAAACAGCCGTTAAGCTCGTGCGTTGCCATAGTGACACACAAGCACAACACAGTTAGCTGAACTTTTAGCAATGCCGCAGAAATGTGTGAAGTGTAAAATACGAGACCTTAATTTTACTACCATAATGACAAATTGTGGCAAATGCGCTAATAATGCAGTTTACATAGGGGAGTTTCATATTTCCAATAAAAACAGTGACACGCACGCTAAACATCATAAACACAAGCTATGGCTTCAGGCTAGTTAAAGAACCATTTACTAGGAAGATTCTCAATTTCTGAATAGCTGGATAAAAGCCATTTTCATAAATGGACCTCAAAACCGAATTATTGTTGTAATAAATTGAAGCACATGTGCTAAAAGCGGCAAGCCCACAGACGTGTTTGCTGTTATTCACAAAAAATTTCAAGGCTCTACAGGCAGCACACCACAGGCAAACAGGCAAACACATATATTATTTTGTATACAACCTGCAAGAATGGTATATTTGTCAACAATCCTGAAATAAACGCTTAATATCAGACTTACCTGCGCTGCCATGTTCTCTCGGTTGTAGCTTCTTCTTCTTCTTCTGATGTTTTTTTTTGGCGGTTTTGGCAAACCAACTTAAAGGTGCATTACCGCCACCTACTGATCTGGAGTGTGGAGTGAACATAGATTTGGTAGAGAGAAGGATATATACCGTATTGTCCCGAATATAAGACGATATTTTTTTCTTCTCCTTCAGGAATCATTCAAATATGCTGATTTGCTGATGACGTGAGTTGTGTTTCTTCTTCTTCTTCTTTATGTTTCTTCTTCTTCTTCTTCTGATGTGTTTTGGCAAACCAACTTCATTACCGCCACCTACTGATCTGGAGTGTGGAGTGAACAGATTTGGTAGAGAGAAGGATATGTATATTGAATTTTTTTTAAATTTATTTATTTATAGTTAAAAAAAAAAAAGGGTAAAACAAAAAATACCACTATTACAATTTATATTCTTTCCATATTTCCTGTCTTTTTTAGATAATTGAACACTTCTTCTTTAATTCTTGATTGCATTTGTCTATTCCCTAGTAATATCTTGAGTGATACTTTATCATATCCCATCAAACCTAATTTATGATTAAGTTGATTTCTTTCTCTTTCATACGCATCTCGGTTGTATCTGAATGGGTGCGCAGTGGAAATCCGTCCGGGTGGAACACGTGACCTCTTCTTCTTCTTCTTCTACTTTTGGAGTTTTATGGCGGTTAGCAAACAAACGATAGGTGCATTCCCGCCACCTACTTGGCTGGAGTGTGGACCATTGATGGAATAGGAAGAACTAAATTAAATAAATAAATAATAAAAACATTTTTTTAATAAAAAATAAAAAATGTAACCCTTCTAAATCCTGTTAAACAGAGCTACTTTTTTTTTTAAAGAATGTCATTAAAGCATCATATATTTTATAATGATTCAAGCCATTATTCAACAAAGTTTTAAGTGTAATATTTTCTATCCCTATTTCTTTTAATTCTTCCAACAGAAATGCTCTTTCATTATCATAAGCAGAACAATGTAATAGTGCATGCTCTACTGATTCTGGTAATCCACACAGACTACAGTTCCCAGACTCGTGCTTATTCATTTATATAGAGAAGAATTTAAAGCAGTATGGCCAATGCGAAGTCTGGTAATAATTGTATCTTCTCTTCTACTACCAAAATTAACTCTTTCAACCCCAACTTGATTTTGAATATGATAAAGATGTCTTCCTCTCTCCTCCTTATTCCAAACTTCTTGCCATCTCATTTTTATTGCTGTTCTAATTTTAGCCTTAACTTCTTCTTTGCTTAGTGGTATAATAATTTCTATATGTGATCATTTCAGTGCCTGTTTTGCTAAATGATCCGCAACCTCATTTCCATCCACTCCCACGTGTGCTGGAACCCACAGGAAACATATCTTAATTCCTATCTTATTCACTCTACATACATAAAAGAATTTCATAAAAAATGTCTTGTCTTGAAGATCTTCCACTGATAAGACTTGATAGTGCATAGAATGAATCTGAACATATAACCGCATTCATTGGCCGAGTATCCTCCATCCACCTGATAGCTAATAATATTGCTACCATCTCTGTAGTGTAAACTCCTACTTGATCAGAAACTCTTTTACCAATCTTGATTTGATAAGTTGGGACAAATACAGCTGCTGATGCTCGTCCTGTCTCGTGATCTTTGGAACCATCAGTGAAAATTGAGATTGCGGAGTTGTAATTCTGTTCTAGATACAGTTTAACCATGACATCTTTTGCTATTACTCTATTTTTGTCATTAATAATTTCTTGCAAATTAAAGTCTACTAATGGTAAAGGGAATAACCAAGGTGAAATGGGTGACACTACTAGGCTAGTGCAGGGCTCATTTCTACATTTATTATTCCACATGACTGGGCTTCTTCTTCTGCTATCCTTCCAAAACTTCTAAACTTGTCTGACTCATGTTCCCAACACTTTTTTAATTGGATGAGTTTCAACACGTGACCTCGATCCTGAGTTCTGGATTAACACTCGCTCTGTGTCCGACTCCGAAATCGCTCACCCGTTCACTCATTCACTAATCCCTATATAGTGTATGACAGTTGAGTGCACTATAGTAGAAAGGAGTGAACGGAATGAAGCCTGCGTCCCAATGTGCATACTATCCATCCTAAATTCTATGTGATATTAGTAATTTTCAATACTGTTTAGGGCAGATTGGGTGGATAGTATGCACATTGGGACGCAGCGGAAGTGAACGGATTCAGACGGTGAGAGCTGGAGCTGTCGCAGAAACATTTTCGTCACATGTACTTTTATATTACATGTACCTTATTTTAGAAAGTAATATTAATAGCAATAGCACTCAAAATGACTTTATATTGTAATTATGCATTCCTCCGCGTCATCTTTGTGGTTTCATCAATGGTTATTCATTTGTTTTGTAATGCTTTTATATACATAATCATTAAATACTACTAAAATACTGACAACAAAAATAAACACACATTAACACATGTTCATAATTTTATGTATTTACTATTTTTAGTATCTTAAGTTGAAACTCTCCCGAGCAGCGTTTTGCGCTCAGATAAGATAATGGTCGTAGAGCGCCCTCAGTCAGGCGACTGTTCATTTTACATCAGAATGAATATGCTACCTACTTGTCATCGAGGTACAACTGGGGCAAATTCAAGCTCAAACCGGTGTGCACCGTTTTGCTACGGTTTCCGGTTTGAACGACATGTTTCTTGGAAACGGTGTGCAACGGGGTTTGAGATGCGTTTTCTTTTGTTTGGTGGATGTGTCAAACATGTCAGCCCAATCAGCAGCAACATGTATGTAAACCACGCGGTATTAAAGAGACAGCTCGCACAATGCAATTAACATCCAAATAAATTCACAAGAGCAAGTATATTGTTTGCACATGTTTATTTACATTAAAGGCAAAATAACTGAAATAATAAGAGCACAAATATAGATCTGGAACTTCTTTAAGTCTGTCTAAATATCATTTAGTAATTGCAATGTCTTCTGGTCCATATCCTTTCCTTAGGAAGGTGTGCTAAATACTGATTAATGTAACATAAAAATACTATACATATTTATATATTTTGCTATTGTATTATGGAGTGACACTTTCATAAACTTTTCTATACCCCTCTGATTATATAATGGTAAATATTACAATATCATAGCACAACAACAGTGATCAGCAATAATGATAAGCCTAATACTCACAATAAAAATAATAAGGTCATATAGATCATAACACAGTCTCGGAGGTAAGAAGTGGATTATCCTTCACCTGAAATGTTTGTCTTTTCATCCTGAAATGCGAGGCAAATGTTGGATCACAATAATTAGGAACCACAGTTTCCACAAATCCCTTCATTTGATGGCAAGGGCAATGACTGTACCATCGAGCGTATTTTGCAGTATTAAACACGTATTTATACCGATTTCATCAGGCTCCGAAAATTCTTCAAAAAGAACACAAAGAATGGCCTTCTCAGAGCTGCAACTCTTGCGTCATCAGAACAGGGTGTTCAACGCACCACCGTTTCCGTTTAAAAAACGTTTTGCACCGTTTTTGTCGGGGCTGAACGCAGCCCTGGCTTGTGATAGCCCTAGTCTTGGTAGCATCAGTGAGAATGGTTTGAAAATAATAAACCAGTCAGTAATGTTTTGACTTGTATGCTTTGATTTTTTTTTTCAGCAGGAAAGTTTATTCATTTATGACTGTCTATATTAGACCTGTATCATTTCTGGCTATTATTTAAGATTTCGTTTGTAAACGTAATATTTGATCAGTGTGTAAATGATGATAAATCATTTGATATGCTAAAAAGTAAGTGTATACTTTTTAAGAAAAGTTGTGGCAGGGAAAGTAGAAATCTGAACTACAAAAATTATTAAGCAGTGCTTTCCTTCTTTTCAGTTTAAGGTAAAACTAGGCTATCAGTAGAACAATATAAGTGTAAAATAAATCATCAAAGTCCGCGTGAACCGGAAGTTGCTGCCGACTTTATTTCAGTTTCTGAATAGAGGGCGGGGTTTTATTTTTGCGCTCCTCCTCTCTGTCTCTCACTCATAGCAACCTAACGGTTGGAGGGGTGTGTTTAAGGCTAAGGATATTCTGCCCAAGCCGTCAAACTGACGTCATCAGAGAAGGAATGCCATTCCAGAGCAAGTAGGCTAAATGTTCAGATATTGGTTAAAAGATTAAAAATTACCAAAACAAACACATTTTTTTCAGCGGATTAACTTGCACGGACTTGCAATTGTTCACATCAAGACTAGCAATGTGCACTAATAAAGTAAATAAAGTCAATTTTGATTTCATGCGGACTTTAAAGTTTTATTTGATGAGTCAGATGTGATTGCAACCAGCAGAGGTCACTCTTGTAATATGTCTTAAGTTGTCATTAGGACCAAACTACTCTACTGAATGTAGGCATTATCTGTGCATCATAAATTCGAAATTTTTCAAATAAATGTTTCAACAAAAATTGTGAGACTTTTATTATGTTATCATTAATGCAGATAAAATGACCCACATAAATCAAACGTAAGACAGACTGTAAAAAGCTTATTCTGGACCTGATTAAACTTCATATTAATTAAAAAGTATAATCACACAGATGGACACAACATGACATTAAAGTTATGTTAAGTCTATATTCTAGGAAAATGAGCATCACAATTTTCAAAACTTATTTAAATATTTTTATAGAATTCTTTGCAACTTTTTAATATTTTTTAAATTTGTAAAAAAAAATTTTTTTTATATAAACACATTATTTGTAATGTATTATATAATACACTAACTGTAATCAGCTTCACCATAAACAGGCTTTCATTTAAAAAAAAAAAAAAAACTTTTTTAAAAGCTGGTAGTAATGCCCACATATCCTCCATTTACAACTGACAAATAGTAATAGCAGACTCATACCACACCCAGAAGCCAGGATATACCGGCTCACTGAAAGAGGCTTTAAACTGATGAATAAGTGACATAGACTCAGACACGGTGTAGAACGAAAGAGTGCCTCCTGCACAGTCCAGAAACACCCCGATACGGGAAGAGTAGGGTGTGTTAATCTCAACCTGGTCTTTGTTGTGTCGAGCTGAGTAGCTGGAGTCAGAGCAGAAGAGACTCCAGGACTTGCGGTTGTAGCCAATACGAGCTGAGTCTCCGTAACCTGTTCTCTTGATGCCTTTAAAAGCCACACCAATGGAGACTCCTTCTCCGCTCCACTCCACCTCCCAGTAGTAGGCACCTCCTGAAAGGGGCTCTTTACACAAGACCTGGGGCAGGCAGTCAAATCTCTGGTTGCTGTCATTGTAAGACTGAGGGTCTTTCTTTAGTGCTGCTTTCCTGTTGTTTCGGGAGAGGTAGAGCTGTCTGTATGCTGTGTTAGGGTCCAGAGTTAGCTGGCAGGCATCTTGAAAATTAACAAGACAGACAAGAGCTGATCAGGATTGGTGAATTAAAGCTTGTACGTGAATGTGTGACGACAAACGGGGAGGTGAAATTATGAAGACAATGAATCTCTGCCCACTTTGCATGCAAGTATCTTGATCCATGTACATATATGCTGCATATTGGTGCTTTAAAAGCTTTTTTTTTTCTTTGAGGCCACATAAAGTAAGTCCCACAATTGATTTTGAATGCATCCAAATGTCGATGTGCGTGGGTCAAGTTAAGACTCATAAGACCACAGGTTTTATAGGTCTATTATTAACTGAAAAAATATCAAATCAAGAATTAAAGGCCACATAAATCATGTTAGCAGTGTCTACAGATCAACCATGCCACATTTGTAGTGTCTAAGTTTTATTAAAAGAAACAAAACATAATGCATATGATAAGACGAACATCATTGCATGTTTATTTTAGGCTATCCTAGGATAGGATTCCTGATCTGGGAACAGTTTTGCTATGGTCTCCAAATATGAACAGATTGGAGCAAATCTACGGTGGCCGAGAGAGCTTAATGCACTGTAACTTCAGAAAACACTTGCAAATAGAAAAAGCACCAGCAAATCAAGAAAACATCTTCATCAGTTTGACAGCAGGTGCTGCAAATGCTCACAACACAACCAAGTAAAGAATTTTATTTGCAGCGCGTTTCTTTATTTGGTTGTGTTGTGAGCATTTATTTGCAGTGCGTGTGTTGTCAAATTGATGAAGTTGTTTTCTTAATTTGCAGATGTTTTTTTCTATTTGCAGCGCGTTGAGCTCTCTCGGCCACTGTACAAATCTGATCCTAGATCAGAATTCCTGATGTAAGGTGCAACATGCATGTGGATAAATCACCTGCCTAGTGGTTGAGTCTGCACATTGGCTCTCAGAGCTGGTTGGACATTTGGAGGTGCTTTCTGCCAGAGGTGCGTGAACGTCTCTCATCTAGAGGGCCGAGAGTGTCGATACACATTTAAGACACTCTATATATTATTCTATATTCTATCAAACAACTTAACTTAGTTGTCTTCTGACTTACACCACTATTCAGAAGTTTCAGGTCCATAAGATGCTTTTGAAAGAAGCCTCATGCTCATCAAGGCCACATTTTTTTAAGGCCACAAAAATACAGTAAAAACAGCAATACTGCGATATATTATTACAAATGAAAATTTTCTACTTTAAAATATTTTTAAAATGTAACTTATTCCTGATGACAAAGCTGAATTATTAGCAGCCATTACTCCATTCTTCAGTGTCAAATAATCCTTCATAAATCTTACTAATATGCTGATTTGGTGCTCAAGAAACAGTTATTATTATTAGAACGTTTTATTATTATTATTATTATTATTATTATTAGGTTGATAATAACTTTGTGGAAACCATGATCCATTTTTTTCAGGATTCTTTGATTAAGAGAATGTTCAAAAGAACAGCATTTATTTGAAATGGAAATCTTTTCTGACATTTTAATTGTCTTTACTGTTACTTTTGATCTGTTTAATATATCCTTGCTGAATAAAAGCATTTATTTCTAAATAATAATAATAATAATATCTCTTTGACACCAACATTTTGAACAGTAGTGTATGTAGGTTTTTGTCCAAAGACCACACTGCTCTTAGAAGACGAAATGTTGGAGGGATGGCAGTTATCATGATTCTCCCATACACCCACTCACTAAGCAGTCTACGCTCGTTCTTACAATATGCTTGGACACAAACTCAGTATGTAAGGAATGATGTTAGACTACTCCCACTAAAGTTTGACATTTAACAGGATGAATGCCAGCATGTTTTCAGAGCACTTTCTGCAAGCTTTCAAAACATATAAAAATTGATATACTATTTTAATTAATCATCAGCAGAGGTGAGAATTCTGCTGACCTTGAACTAGGCTTATCATTGAACTATGTCCTGTGTATGTTATCTCTACAACAATGCCCTCTGGTCTTGGGCAAAAAGGAAATTCTTGTATGAAAACAAACTTACACTGGAGGAACTCGTCCCTTGTCCGGGGAGTGTTGCTGGGACTCTTGTACATGTCAACTTCATCAGCTAGAGACACAATAAAGAGAGGTTTTAAGCATGCAATGATGTCAAACTTTAATGTGATCTTTCATAGCAAACAGATTATGTTACTGACAAAAAGGAAGGACCATTAGGTACTTTCTGGATAGTACTTTAGGTACTTTCATGTTAGACGTGAGAATATATACACTACCGCTCAAAAGTTTTTTTTTTTTTAAAGAAATAATACTTCTATTCAGCAAGGACGCAGTAAATTGATCAAAAGTGACAGTAAAGGCTTTCTACTCATTGAAGAATACTAAAAAAATGCATCACAGTTACCACAAAAATATTCAGCAGCACAACTGTTTTCAAGATTGATAATAAATGTTTCTTTAGCACCAAATCAGCATATTAGGATAATTTCTAAAGGATCATGTAATACTGAAGACTTAAGTAATGGCTGCTGAAAAATACAATTTGCCATCACAGGAATAAATTAAATTGTAAAATATATTTTATAGAACAAAGTTATTTTAAACAATATTTCAGACGTCTGAAAGGTACCAGACTTCTGAACGGTAGTGTATGTTTAACTGAAGGCCAAAATAAAACATCCATGATGTGTGTGCTGTTCATAGAAGAGATCAGCTAATAAATATGTATTTTAATGTGATGTCGGTCTTAAGATCATTGCTTAGCAACAGGCCAACAATTTCTTGGAGCACGACACTGGCTTTTGACAAATACCATTCCAAAATTCCAGCTATTTTGCACAAAGCAAACAGCAGGGCAGCTAGAGTTTCCCATTTTCATTAACTTACACTTCGTAGACCTTTTCTTCTTACGGTCCTCTAGCTGGCAGAATGGCATTTTGTTCACTGGAAGAGAATTGAGAGTTATGAAGGAAGTCAATAAACACAAGAGAGCCTGATTTATTTACTCATTCTCACGGAACAAAAAGAGCATTTCAAAATGGGTATGAGACAGTGGCTAATAAAACAAGACTGCATCTGTCAAACTGGACCATACCTGTCTTTGCCACCTTGACCAGCTCTTCATTGCTGAACTCACTTAAATGTTGTTTCATCTCAGAGACGGTTTTGGTAACAGTGCCAAAGGAGAAGTAAGGGTTCACAGTAACAGAGGGCAGCTCCTCGGCATCAGTCTGGGCAATCAGCATATGGTAACTCTGCGATAAAAAAACAGAACAAATCTTAGTCTAATTCTTTTAACAAAAGATTGCTCTGCACACTTATTTTTTCACATACTAATGGCTCTAGAGGTAACAAAATATTTCACACGGTATTCCATCACCTGTGAAATAGTAGAAAAACCAACAAAAACAAAATAATTTTACATGCACGCAATACATCCTGTGTGGAGTGCCACTAAAATCTACCCACATGATGTTTATTTCAACACTGCTGGTGCTCAGTGGATGTGTATTTTGTGCAGCAGACTGTTTCTCAGTCACCTGGATGAAATGAATGTGGTCCTCAGTGCGAGAGAGTTGTGTCAGCTCATTGTCTCTCCTCTTCAGGTCAGTAATTTCATGGCCCAGACGCTCCATGTGGCCTTCAGCAGTGTTAAGTGCAGCCTTCTTATTGGTCGAGATTAGTTTGGTCATTTCCTGTTGCATTCTTTCAATGGAATGAAGCATGTCACCAAACAGCTTTTCACTCTCCTGCAAAGCCCGTTGTGCTGAACTCTGAAAGAACAATTGTAATCAGTATTCTGTTTCTAACTCTGCTTCATTTTCTTTCTTGGAAATTCAGAACTTTTATATCTATTTACAAAACATTCCTGCTTCTTTCCGAGTAAGAATTGGTCACACCAGAGCACCAATAAATATTTCTGCAACATATTCTTGCTTACCAGAGAATTAATGTTGATCTTGTATTATTTTCTCATATAATTTATAGTTTTTTTATTGTTAATTTATTGTTTTATTATAACATGACATATTTAACATCCAGACATACCTTGAGTGCATCCACAGCCTGTTTTAACTCTTCCATTTGCTTCACTCTGTCATGAATCTTTTCCTGGATCTCAGCTTGGGTGGCGCCCAACCGTTGCTATGAAGAATGAAAAACAACAAAGTCATGACAAAGGAGTGTTGTAAGTACAGCATCCTTCCACACCGCAACCACTTCCACATGACAATACAGTCACTTTTGGATACTCTCTGTGCACTTAATATGAAACATTCTTATAATTTTAAAGCATACTCATTGATTTCTTTATCACTTCTATCATTATTATGTAAACTGATGGGTTCTTTTGCAATTGCTATAATGCAAGTTATTGTGCAATAATGTAGGTGTACAAGAACTCTTCCTCACCAATACTATAGCTTAGATCGTTTTCTCATCTCCTTTTTGGGTGGAGATCATTCACTGGCCATGTTTGTTTTAGAGGGGTTGGCTACTCTTATACTCAATCTAGCATATCCAGCATACTGAGAATGTCATTTTTTGCATGAATAGGTGCACTGTTGCATACAGGAGGTGAAAGGTTGTTACTTCTGCTGGTCATTATCGCCATTTAATCTGTTGCCATAACAGCTTCACCAGTGTAATATTTCCATTGGTAAAAATATGATCACAATTGCACTTTTTGTAGTCTTACCTGCATTTCCGCCCTTTCCTGTTCAGCGGACACCATGTCGTGGCCCTTGTGCTCTTTCACCGTACACAACACGCAGATACACATCTGGTCCGTCCGGCAATAAAGCTCCAGACCTTTCTGGTGCTGCGGGCAGATCTGACGATCAAGGTGTCCGATCTCATCGACCAACTTGTGTCGTTTGAAGGTGGATGATTCGTAATGGGGCTTCAAGTGCTTCTCGCAGTAGGAAGCAAGACACATCAGACAAGACTTGACAGCTTTGAGCTTCTTCCCGATGCAGATGTCACATCCCACGTCCTGGGGTCCCGCATAGTTGTAGTCAGGGGCCGGAGGGGCCGGTGGGAAAGAGTCAGAGTTTCTGAGGGATGAAGATGAATGGCGTGAGGACTGAAGGCGGCGTGGATTGGGCCTCTTGTTGTAGGTGACCCTGCACTGGGGACACAGGTACTGCCCAGTGTGGTCTGCATGATCCCAGTAGGTCTTGATACAGACAGAGCAGAAAATGTGACCGCATGGGATGGAAACGGGGTCCCTGAGATCTTCCTTGCAGAGGTAACAGCGGTCCTGCTCAAGCGACATGGTTAAATCCCCAAAGATCTCACAAAAGGAAATGTGCGTTCGTGTGCGAGACAGGAAAAGTGAGTCTAAAGTGCCACCACAGCATGTTATATAGCGTAAACAGGGAGGGAGGCTAAACTGGTTATGCAGAAACCAGTAAATGAATGGGGGAGTGGCTGAGGCACAGGTGAGGACAGCGATTGAGAGAAAGAAGAAACATGTATCATCAGATGTCAATGGAAATGATAACAGTGAAGAAGAGAAGCTTGAATGAAATGTATGATCTTAGGGCATAAAATTGTTTTGAGAGTTGCAGGACCCCAGAAAAAGCACTCTTGCATCACGTATACTTGCATTTCTTTTATCTTTAATAAAAAAGCTTGTCTTGTGACTACTACATCTGGTGGCAAGCCATGATCTCATCGTTAGAGTGTTTCTGAATGGTGTTAGGGGCTGCATGCTTGCAGACAGTTCAACATTGGGTATAGTGCTCCACTGCGTAGGAGCTGCCATGATGGATGAGTGCTTAGAGTCCAAGTATATATTGACCTTTGGCACACACCATCAAAGCTGGAGGGTAATTTATTTGGAGGGAGGATGAGTGTTCTTTGCATATTTTTCCTCCTTGAAAGACTTTTGAGTTATAAGAAAGTATGTTTTATATTAAGAGCCCTTTAACCTCCAAATATCTGAATTGTGCATCTAAGTAGGTGAGAGCGAGATGATTGGAGCAGCTGTTACATTGTCGGTTTAACCACAGACATTGGGTACAGGGTGAAATTGCTATCATACATGACAAAATTCAACTAAAGTGAGTCTCTGTATACATATATAAAGAGACAAATACAATTTTGAAAAGAAAAACAAATATATACTGCAATAATTTGATTTGCAATTGATCAGGTTAAGGCTGGTTAAACCACTGAACTCATATAATCTCAGTAACAACAAATTATCTAACATCTACTCAAAATTTTCACAAAAATTTAAAAAAAAAAATTTCACAAATATGAGACAATGTATAAGCCAACATTTAATATTTTATTCCAACTGAAGAAGTGACTAACATGCACAAACACACTTTCTGTTATGTTATTTTAATTGTTAGCCTATGTTTATGTATGTTTTCTTTTAAATTAAAAGCTGAACACGACACTGGGTGGAGTTGAGGGTGATGGTGGATATTCTAAAAATAAGTCTGAACAAGAAATTTGATTAACAAAATAAATAAGTGTAGAAAATTTTACATTCCCGTACAGGGAAGGGATTAAAAACAAACTAAATTTGTAGATTATATCAAAGTTTGAGATAGAATTGCAATTCATTAAATTATGAAAAATTCTTTGGGAGCAAAAATAACAGTGTGCAGCAACACACACACATTCACACTGAGTTACAGATTCCCATCTGGCCATTCCCAGTCTGGCGGTGAAAGCCAACTACCATTCCAAATGTTTTTGATAGTCTACCGCAGGAAACAAGCGCACAAAATTGAGCACATTTTTAAATTTACAGCAGCAACTTTAAATGAAACAGCAGCTGCTGTGTCTTCCAGCAATGCCAGACCCATTTTCCTAAGAAAAGGTGTTTATCCCTGTTGCTCAAAGTGGATGGAAATAAGTGTTTGTTTTAGATTAGCCTCTCTCATCTCTCTAGAGCATACATCCTCTGTACGGCACAGTCCACAGAGCTCCAGGAATCTCTGTTGCAAAACAGGAAGTGGAAGTGAGTTTGCAGTGGCTCACATTCAGTGTGATGAATAGCTAATTAGAACATTTCTACTGGGACTGCAAATCCACCCCCATATTCCTCACCAAATCTGAGTCATTCCTTTTATTTGACCAAAGCCGATTGTTTAATTTTACTCTAACTTCCATTTTATGTGTTTTGGAAATTGTACATAATTTGATAATATCCAAAATCAAGTACTCAAATGGACATTTATTGTATGCCCATCTCAAACTAACACTTAAGATTATTCTTACTTAAGATGGCAGTCAGCTTGTAAGTTTCAACAGCGAGAGTAAAAATGTTGGCCTGAATGCACCCAGACCTGATAAGTGAGATAACAGCAAGAGAGGCCTGCAAAGGTGAAAGTTTCCACTGTTGGAGAGAATATCCAGACTTCAGCAGGACATGTGGCCTGACAGTGCAGGAGAGTCTGCAGCCAATCTAATGACGTGTCTGACTCTGGATCATCTGTGTCAGTGATCATATTGTGGTGTTAAGTCATAGTTCTAAAGGTGCTCAGCTGAAAATAGCTGATCGATTGATAACTGGAACTTTATGACAGAGATCATTTGCAGTCTTAAAATAAACCTTAGAACAATAGGTTATGATAGGTCACTTTAAGAATAGTCTATCACTGTTTTTCCATGCAGTGTTTCAAATCTTTTCAAAAGTTATAATCACATTTGTTAAAAATACTTTTAAAAATGTAAAAATCCTGAAAGGCTTTTCTAATATAAAATTATTTTTCCTATAATATATCTCACAAAATAGGGTGGTGTGGTCAATGTACACTGTACTGCATGTAGAGTATTTATGATCTGGTCCTTCCTGATCTCTCTAACAGAAACTGCCTGTCATGCCACAGTGACACATTTGTAAAGAAACATGTAGACGTAAGTGTATCACAACAATAGAGTGACTGACAATTTATCGTTTGTCTCTTATTTGTTGAGAAAGAGCTGGACGTTCAGCCTACTCAGACTGTATTTCACAAACCTTTTGTACATCAGCATAGTGATAAGAATTTTACAGCAAGCAAAAGAAGAAAAGCAATATTTCGGCTTTAGACATAATTTCAGTTATCATGTGCTAATATACAATCACTTACCCATATATTCCTTCAGGGTCAAGCAAAGGCAAATTTATCAGTGCCAGCAGTGAACTCACATGAAGCTAAATTACTATTGCTTTTAATGCACTATTGAAGCTCCCTGCATGCTTTCCTTTGAGTGCTGATCTTCCTTTGTGCTTTTTGAGAATTTCGTTCTGCACAGCCTGTTTAATTTTATTTGGCAATACGCCAGGTGAGCAGCCAAACACATACACCCCCACCCCACCCACACACACACACACACACACAGCTCTCTCTGCCTTTCAGCCAACAAGACTCACAAAGGTGACCATTGTTCATAGGAAGCACTTGTAAATGCCTTGTTTCCACGCACTCCATGCACTGACCAATCAGATGGACAGAGGCAACCCCTTGGTTTTTACAATAACAACACGCACCTATGAACACTCACTCTCTGGACTTACTCTGTCACCCTCCAACAGCCACACACCCCTTAATCAGGTAGTTTAATGAAACTTGTCCTTTGACCCTTAATATACACAAGGAAACACGAAACCTCTGGCAGGCTTAGTCAAGTATGCAGCTCCTTCAATAGGAAAAAGCTCCCTCGTGAACCAACGTGAACTCGGCCGGGTCAACATGAGGGTGTGGAGAACAATAAAGGTTGTGTTAAAGGAACTCATTTCTTTTGTACGGTTTACAACATTTCCTCTTTAAGAACTATGAAGACCATGAGAACAATATGAGGGCCAACAGTCCATGAATAGGCCAGTTCCTTCATTTTAAAATCATGCTGCAGCTGGTGTCAGATTTGCAATTAGAGGCCTAAACTAGCATGCTAGCTTTTTGAGTTAATGAGTAATCACAGCCTATACCTTGCACTGTAACTTCTGGAATCTATTCAACTCTGGGAAAAGGGTAAGAGAAACTAGCTTATCAGAGAGCAAACCATATAAGGAGAGAGGTGAAACTATTTATGAAGTGATGCAAGATTTGTGCCTGGGTCAGAGCTTGATGGCAGGACCTTGTGTAACCAATCAAAATGTAATAGGTGTTGGTTTCTTTCAGTGTGGCGTCATCTGGGCTCTGGCTGGACCAATGGCTAAAGCAGAAATACACAAAAATATGTCAATAATTAAAAAGAAACCAGCCACATTTAATGTGTTTTCCTTGAAAGTTTCAACCACAAGTTGGATTTCTCCCACACAACCCAAAACACTTCCAGGAAAAAGAGTCAGAAAAAGCTTCACAGTCACAGAAGGAATCTCTTTGGCATGAGCTAATAAGTTGCTGGTTGCATAACATCAGCACTGCAGGTGAGTCTGCAGGTGGTGACAGAAGTCACATGGCATATCACGTCCTACGAAAACTTAGCCCAAGTACTTTCATGCCCTGCCCCCTACAGATTCACAGGATATTTAGTAGAAAAATAGGTGAAACTAACTCTGAGACTCTTAATGTATACAGCACTTGAGACCAAGGTGTAAATCATTAGGGGGTGTTGGGTGGGGGTCTACCATCTTCAATCAAACCCTCCTAAAGGAAAACAAAGACAATTTTACAGATAAGTTAAAAAACTTCTGACAAAATGTCCAGTATCCGTAAAATGGGTCTTAATACTGTCTGAAAGTATAAAGGGATAGTTTGCCAAAAATAGTAAAAAAAAAATTACAAATGTTTTGAAAAATGTAAACATAAAACATACAAGTCAAAGGTCACCAAAACTGTTATTGGTTACCAACATTCTTCAAAATGTCTTCTTGTTTGATCCACAGAAGATAGTCTGTCAGGTTTGGAACAACATGAGTGTGAGTCAATGATGACAGAAGTTTCATTTTCGGGTGAACTATCCCTTTAAGACATTCTAGTTTTTTTATTACCCTGTATATGATTTATTAATTGTAATTTTTATAAAATTATACTCATGTTTTTTTGCCAATTTTGCCCTTTCTGTTTCAAAGTTGTATCTGTGAAAGTGCCGCACAGCATTCAAAAGCGGTGAGTGACTCATGCTCACATCATATATTGCACACTTTTCATAAACTGCAGGTTCATTTTAATTGCATTTTAATTTTATGTCTTCATATTTAATGTCCTGGAACTCTTTGTATTGCTTCTGGGACATACAAAGTGTGCCTGTATTGTTAGTGACAATTAACAACGCAAATAAATCTAGTAGTATGCCAAGACAGTGCCAAAGCAATAACAGTGTGCAAATATCTGCACAAACTATTCTGAAAACTTGAAATTTGAAAATTCTACAGGTTTGAAATATGCTAAAAAAAACTAAATACTGTTCATTCTTTTTTTTTTTTTTTTGCCGCACCCATCGAAAAACAAACTGATGACATATTTTCAAGTCTGCAGCACCCAATCCAGTTCAACTGGCCTTAGTTCATACATTCAGATCAACTCACCTCACACACCTCACACACTAACAGTTACTACTGTTTGTTTAGTGCAGTGAGCGGAGTACCACATGCCCTTGTATTGTAAAAAAAGCCGGTTTCAATGCAATAAATTTTACAGTGAGAACTTTATATGTCATATTATATATACCAAATAGGTGTGCTACAGAAGGAAATATGTCTAAAAAGTTAAATAAGCAAAATTGTAATATTAAATCTAAAAATTGTAATATCAGAAGAAACATTATTTAACTAAACTCAGCTGCAGTAAGCATTGAACCCAATAATATTTAAAGAATAAAAGCAAGAGAGTAAGCAAGCATGAAAAAACAAGCTTTGCAACATATCAAAGCCAAACAAGAAAGGCCAATTATTAACCGACTGTGGTTTTAAAGTAACTGATGCAAATGTCCTTCAGCTAATGGATAAGCAGTTTATGTGTGTGAAACAGAGCTTTTCATGTTAAGTTTCATCCTGGATGCCCCTGCTTTGTACTACAATTCATTCATTCTGAACTGTACCTTTTTTCCTTTAATGTCTTTCACTCCACCTCTTGCCCCTCCCTCACCCTCTCTCTCTCTCTCTCTCTCTCTCTCTCAAGACTCCTGGCTCAACCTGTTTATCAGAGCTGGGTAGTGCTCTAATCTCTCTCTCTCTCTCTCTCTCTCTCTCTGTCTCCCTCCCTTCCTCTCTCTCGCCAACACACTCCCTCAGTACAAAGAGGAGGGCTTTGCTTCCTTTAATTAATAACCTGTGGAATTCAGAAACCCAAGGCTGTCTGTAGTAAAACACCAGCCAGGCGGCGTTTGGCTCCTTTTTCTCTTTTGGAAACATTTCAGACTCTTGGTTTTTGAATAAGGTGAGAAAATATGACTGAGCAAATGTCTCCAGACTACTTCAGCTGCCCTCTGTGTACGGAGTTCCTGAGGGACCCCGTGGCGATCCCGTGCGGTCACAGCTTCTGCATGGACTGTATCAGTGGCTACTGGAACGAGGCTGATTACACTGGCATCTACATCTGTCCCCAGTGTCGGATCACGTTCACCCAGAGACCTGTGCTGAGGCCGAACGCCACTCTCACCAAAGTTGCAGAGAAGATCAAGAAGACCGGCTTGAACTTAACACCTCCAATGAATGGAAGCTATGCTGGCCCTAGCGATGTTCCTTGTGACTTCTGCACTGGAAAAAAGCTCAAGGCTGTCAAGTCCTGCCTCAACTGCCTCGCCTCTTACTGCGAAAAGCACCTGAAGCCCCACTATGAGTCTGCCACCTTCAAGAGGCACAAACTGGTGGATGAGCTGGGGAACCTGGACCGTAAGATCTGCCCTCAGCACCAGAAGAGCCTGGAGTTGTTCTGTCGTACCGACCAGATGTGTATTTGCGCCCTCTGTACTGTCAGCGAGCATAAGGGACACGACATAGTCTCAGCCGAAGCAGAAAGGGGTGAAAAACAGGTAAGGAAAATGTTCTGCTTGAGTAAACTTTACTAGGAGAGGCTATGGGGTAGAGTGGCTGTGGGGTTACAAGTTGAATTTGTTTATGTATATGATTATATTAATGAACAAGAAATGTTCTTGAGATTGTATAAGAGAGGTTTTCTTCAAAATAAGCTGCCAAGAAGCCATGAAGATACACCGTATAACCGGTTCTGTGTTATCGCAAACACGCTGGTCCAGATCATTACATAAAAACTAATGAGGAAATATGGAAAAGAAAGGGAGGAGATGATGATTAAATGGATAGAAAGGGAGTGAGGTTAGTGAAACTTTCATCCAGATATAGTTTTCCAATACAACTCCCAAACTATAGGAGTCACAAAAAGGGTGTGTTCCCTTACAATGGACAACTCAGAGGTTACTTGATTTAATCACTGTCCTAAACTGGCCACCTTTCTGAGAAGATTTGTTTTTGTGAGAGTAAAAAAAACTGTTATGAGCAATAGGAGATGGGCAGGTCTGGATTCTGGTGTAGGGAGAGGCAAGGAATGTGAACTCAAGAAAATCAGGCGGGAGCTTACAGACCATCCTCAACCTCCCCCCGCGCTACGAGTGAGAAAAATCGCACACTGCTTTTTGCACCTTGACCCAAAGTCATCATAAACCTCAGCAGATGAGTATAGCTGAAAGAAATGTTGACAACCGCCTCTTCAAACTTGAGTTTCACTTGAAAAACGACTTGAGTCACTGTATGAAATAACTATTAGGACAGTAATAACAAACATCTCACCAAAACTATTTATAGATACTGGTCAGATGTTTACTGATCCATCAATACTCTGGAGCTCTGAATAGAAAGAAGACCTTCAAAGGTTTAAGATTTCAAAGCTTTTCCTTCAATTCATCAGTACTGAACAAGCTTAATAACAGGGAGCACAGCAGTTTGCGTTTTTGTACTGTTTTGACTGAACTGTCATGGGTGCTCTTTAGATACAGTAATTATATCTGTAATCTAATACTTATCGCAGGCACTAATTGCGAATGGTTTGTTTGTTCGGTTAAATGTAGGGAATCCCAGATTTAAGCCCTCATGTCCCATGGCACACACTACACACACACTTTTATTCACCCCCTCCCCAGATTCTCCACATTCCTTCAAGCTTATCTTGAAGAATGGTTCGGTGAGCTTGGCAAGGGGTTGCTCTGAAGCCCCCCTTCTCTTACCCTAAAGAATCGAGCGTGTGCACCTTGAAATGTTTCTCCGGCGAACAGACCCAGCTAGTTTTACATTCCTGGCGTGATTAACATTCCCCTCTCTTTTCAAAGATAAAGGCATCCATGTGAAGCAGGCTCTTCCAATTCTAGGAAAAAGCGTAACATAGAATTAACATACATGAAGATCTGTGACATGAGAGGAAGTGTTGTATTATATAGCTGTACATCCACTGAATTATCAAAGTTGGCCATCAATAACATAACAATGTTTGTATTCTAATTTAATCTGTCAATAGAGACTAAGGTATGTTTTCTCTTATTTCATGGACAGAAGCTTCTTGGAGTGTCCCAGGCAGAGATCAAACAAAAATGCCAGCAGAGGACCAAAGAACTGGAGGAACTGAAGACAGCGGTGGATTCTCTCAAAGTATGTTTTAGATTCAATTGTAATTTGTAACAGTTCATTTTATTATCACTGCTCATATCAAAGTCACACCATAATATATTAGACCAAATAAGAACAACCGAATACACTGCTTTATCTGGGCAAAGGTGAAATGGCACAAGAACGTTTATCTGTTAAGTCAGTGTGCAACTGTTTCAATCTGGGAACGCAAACAGTCCTTGAAAGTGGCCATAATTGTTCTTTTGTTCTTTATGAGATAATCCAATGCTAGTCTTCTAGATACATTCTGATACATGGTTTTTTGTTAACTGCAGCAGCAGTTTGAGTAATTTTTCTGAGTTGTAAAGCTTATCCAGTTATTCTTGCAAAATCGAAAACGAAGAGACATAAACAGTTTCCTACTGAATGAATGGACAATGAACTGACACTCTTAAACTTGACTCCTTTTTACCGCAGAGCTCCGCACAAAGGGCAATGACCGAAAGCAAGAAGATGTTTGATGAGATGATCACGTCCATTGAGAGGATGAGGTCAGAGGTCACCAAACTGATCAACATCAATGAGAGGGCTGCATTCAGTCAGGCGGAGGGGCTGATGGAGCGACTGGAGCAGGAGATAGATGAACTGAAGAAGAAAGAGACTGGACTTAAACAGCTTTACAGCACTGAGGATCACATCCACTTCTTACAGGTACTTAAGAACAGGAGTTTTCCAAATAGAATCTGAGGATCCCCAGGTGGACAAAGAGGGTTCTAGGGGGTCTGTAAAAAATTTTGAGGAAAAAAAACTTTTTTCATTTGCTTACAATATCCACACAAAAGCTACTTATTTAAGTTTACATAATATCATGTTTTTTCCCCTTATGCAGTAAAAATGGGACCTTATATACTATATTATATGTTAGGAAGGGGGTCCCACACAAGGCATCAAAAAGAATTTTCAAACTTTTTGGCATCAAAACAAAAAAAAATGACTGTAAGATTCTCCTTATCACATGAAAGTTTAAAATACATTTAGATTAACAGAGTTACCCTTTAGTAATCGAGGCTTGCAATATTATACTCTACATTTTATGCACTGAGATTTCTCTATTTTTAAACAGAACTTCAATTATCTTTGCACTCCGACTGATGACGGCTTCATACCCAGAGTGTCTCTGAACCCAGACTTCTCCTTCAGTGCAGCCAGGAAAGCTGTGGCTGAGATCAAAGAGAAGCTAGAGGAGCTGGGCAGAGACGAACTGAGAAAGATCTCAAAATCAGGTCAGAGCACACAATGCACCGTACATCAGATACAGGCATAGTTGTCGGGTAAATTTGCCCTTGCTTGCTGTTCTGAACACACTGCCCTCTATATTTTATATGAACTTGGACAGTAAAGTGTACAGCTGAACTTAGTTTCTCTCTAAAGAGCCACATTGTGCACTTTTGTTACAGTATATCAAAATGTATAATTTCTGGGCCAGCTGTAAAATAATTTGAAGTCCTAAAGAAATAACCAACAATTAAACAGATCAGTCTTTAACTCTGAAAAGCCAAGCCTTTTAGTACCGAGTGCACTTTACAGTACATTCTCAAGTTAGCAAGGAAGTCATGTGATTGCATGTAGAGTGTAAACAGGGCTTAGAGTTCCTCCACTTCATTTCCAATTCACTGAGCAAAGTTCAAATGATAAACAAAAGAGCTATTCTGATTGGATGAAGTAGTTCGTAGTACCGAGTGCACTTTACAGTACATTCTCAAGTTAGCAAGGAAGTCATGTGATTGCATGTAGAGTGTAAACAGGGCTTAGAGTTCCTCCACTTCATTTCCAATTCACTGAGCAAAGTTCAAATGATAAACAAAAGAGCTATTCTGAAGTAGTTCGCGCAAATTCTATTAATAGAATTTGAAACAACAGGATTTAGTGCCTTACTTAGATCTGCTGGCACAAATCTAGCATTTCTTGTTTAAGAAATGTATTGCAAATAAAGTTTTCCTGACGTGTACGTTTTATAACAGTGAATGAAGTACCAGTGTACACTGTGGAGAATCGCACCAAAGAGAAAACTACCAGAGGTAACACAAATTTACTTACACTGTATATTGATTTACACTGATCACATATGGGTGGTGCAAATATAAGCTATAAACAGTCTAAAAATGGCAATATGTAAAACATGCATGAGAAAACTAACTGTTTAAAAGTTTGGGGTCTGTATAAGATCTCTCTTATACTCAACAAAGCTGCATTTCTTTGATAAAAATGAAAAATAGTAATATTGTAAAATATTATTAAAAAGTAAATGAACTGTTTCTACTTGAATATATTTTAAAATGTACATTTAATTCCTTCCTGTGGTAAGTTAAAGAAGTTCATACAGTGGACAGTGCACCTCCTGCAGAACCCAGGAGCAGATCTGAATTTCTGAAATGTAAGTATCTAGAAATCCTGATATTTAAATACTCAAATATTGGTCATCGGTAGATATTAAAAATATACTGGACATTTATTTCTTATGCTCATTTTATCCATTTTTACATTTAACACCTAAAGTTAATCTTTAAAAACACTAATAATGGAATTACATATTATCTTAAATTAATCTTAAAATAAATATCTATTTCTCAAAATGCACATTTTTGATGGCTTGTGATGCCTAAATTGACTGGCATTTATAACTTGACTGATCATAGTTGTCAGCGTTTTCAGTTTATTTTGGACGAAATTGATATCAGCCATTTATTAGTTGTCAGCCACAACATGAAATTATTCATCAGCTTAGTTGTATTACCCAGAATTTTAATATTGTTCCTAGTCCAAATAATTTTTTCTTTCATTATTAGATGTAGATATTTGAAAACATACAGAGACAGGTATACAAAGATCTGTTAAAAGCAACTTTTACCTTTTGTGTTTCCAGACTACTGTCAGCTGAGACTAGACCCACACACGGCGCATAAGGAGCTGTACTTATCTGAAGGAAACAGAAAGGTGATTAGAACCAGAGACCCGCAGCCATACTCAGACAACCAAGATCGCTTTGATAGCTTTGCCCAGGTGCTGTGTCGTGAAGCTCTGTCAGGTGGCCGCTTCTACTGGGAAATTGAGTGGAGTGGGGAATTCTCGATCGGAGTGGCCTATCGGGACATTAGCCGTAAGGGTAAAGGCTCCCTGTGCTTGCTAGGCTACAACGATAAGTCCTGGAGCCTCCTCTGCTCTGACACAGGGTACTCGGCCTGGCACAACAGGGTAGACAAGGCTGTTAGCGGCCCTCACTCTTCGAGAATAGGGGTCTTTCTGGACCACTCTGCAGGGGTGTTGGCGTTCTATAGTATTAGTGAGACCATGACACGTCTGTATCGTTTCGAGACCACATTTACTGAGCCCCTCTATCCTGGGTTTGGGGTAGGAACATCAGTCAAGATCTGCCAATTAAAATGAACACTACATGAAATGTGTGCTTTTCATGAAGAATCTGAAGTGAAGGAGATACATTTTTGCTCTTTTTTTCTATGATTTTATATATTTTTTAACTCTGTCTTTTATGCTGAATGCCATTTGTCAGCTGTCGTCTCAATTTTTGCAGGTTCTGGAAGAATTAAATAACTTTTTAGTAATGATTCTATGTGCAAACAATATAAATGTTCTCTTAAATAAAGGCTAAAGAAAAATGTTAATATTATATGGAATTCTCAACATGTGTGTATCCAAAAGACATTATAAAGCAACATTACTCATCAATTGCTTCTTCATATTTCAATAAAGTTTTAAAGTTGTTATACATACTGGTCTCTCATTAAATAAATGTGGTCATATCTTTTAGTGAATATAGTCTTGTGTTTTTGCTGCTGAACAAAAAAAATAAAAAATCTTAGTTAACACTATGAAGAACAAAAAAAAAATGCTGTTTTTGTTGTTCTGTTGTTTGGAGTGGGTGTTACTACTGGATGCTCAAATGTTATTGGTAAGAAAGTGAGAAAGAAAATATAATTACATATGACATATATTGGCAGGAAAAATAAGTCATTTATTTTGACAAGAAGTTTTTTTTATGTTGCTTAAATAAACATTCTGGGGTGAAAGTATTTGTATGTAAACTGCAGGAGTTAAGTAAGCCTAATGCATCATACCATGAACAAATATGAACGAATCAAACACATGAAAGTTTATGATTGAAAAAGAACTCGCCCAGAATGGTACGATTTCTGACACACTTTCTAAAGCGTTACTTTTTCCATTTTTAATTTTTGTGTGAGCTACTCCTTGAAACTTTTAGTGGCGTTGTTATGTTTACTAACAAACCCTGAAAGCAACTAGTGCGGTAAAGTTGGTTTTATGTTGGACATTCGTTAGACATTCGATCTTTACTTCAGCATTAATTTATTTGTAATCGCATAATAGGCCTAGTCATGGATGCTGTATATCGTTCAGATCACATTTAAAAGCATAATATCAAAATTAATAATAATATTACTCGATGATGTAATTGTTTTAAACCTCTGAAGTGAAAAAGTCCTCCCAACAATCTCCGCTTGCGCACGTCAAGTTAGGGAGTGTCTCAATAGTGCAAAATCCACAATAAACTTGGTTAAATATGTGCATTATTCCATAAAAAACACTAAAACCATGATGCTTTTACATGTGTAGTTTATGTTGGCAAATAGATTAAGAATAGATTAAGATGATTTTTAACTTTTAAATGATTATTATATCTGTTATAAATATGTAAGTAAACTGCATGTCTTAATGAAATAAATTTATTTAACTATGTTGTTGTTTTATTGAAAAAGCTCAAATCACATACAATGTATTTATATATACATGCAGCATATAGTACACAACTTAGATTAAAAATATATATATTTTGTGCATCTATTATACATTTATCAAATATTCAAATCTATATCACTTCCTGGTCATGTGGCCTGATGATGTCACACCAGTTGAAATATCTTCACACAATCCTGACACACATCATACATCACTTGGATTTTGGAAATATGATTTTGTGTATTTTTTAGTGAATTTCTCGAATATTTAAATCTATATAACTTCCTGGTCATGTGACCCCAAGATGTCACACCAGTTGTAATATCTTCACACAATCCTCACACACATAATAAAAAACTTGGATTTTAGAAATGTAATTTTGTCTATTTTTTATGGATTTTTCAAATATTCAAATCTATATAACTTCCTGGTCATGTGACCCCAAGATGTCACACCAGTTGTAATATCTTCAATCCTCAAACACATAGTAAAAACTTGGATTTTAGACATTTAATTTTTTATGGATTTTTAAAATATTCAAATTTATATAACTTTCTAGTCATGTGACCTCATATTTCAACACCCACTGTATTATAATCATACACATTTGTCAAACAACTCTCATGCAGTTGTTTGTGGAAATATGCCTTTGGTTGTTTTAAAATAGTTTTTTTTTTTTTCAATCAAAATTATTAGAACACTAGTATTTTCAGCAGATAAAAAAATGGTTCAGTTATTTCTATCTTTTGCTGTGGTGTTTTAACAGTACTGTAGCTTTGCAGGTAGGTTTCTTGAAGCATCTTGGAGATTTTGCCTCAGTTCTTCTGGATTTAGTCTGTCTCATTTTGTTCTGTTTCTTCATGTCATTCCAGACAGACTGGATGATGATCAGATCAGATCTCTGTGTGGAGCACTGGCTGCTGTCAGACCAAAATCTCACTGGATTATTACAATTAATGGCATGTTTTGAAATGTAAACTGATATTTCCTACTGACACACTACAGCAAAAGATAGAAATAACTGACTTAAAACCATTTTTAGCTAATGAAAATACTAGAGTTCTAATAATTTTGGCCACCACTGTATATACAGCCAACTTACGTCTGTCCCCCCGTTCCGGCATCCCTCCTCCACCCCAACTCCTCACTCTTAAACTATTCTCATCCAATTATTAGAACACTAGTATTTTCACCAGCTAAAAAAATGGTTTTAAGTCAGTTATTTCTATCTTTTGCTGTAGTGTGTCAGTAGGAAATATCAGTTTACATTTCAAAACGTTCATTTTGCCATTAATTGTAATAATCCAGTGAGATTTTGGTCTGACAACAGCCAGTGCTCCACACAGAGATCTGATCTCACCATCATCCAGTCTGTCTGGAATGACATGAAGAAACAGAACAAACTGAGACAGACTAAATCCAGAAGAACTGTGGCAACGTCTCCAAGATGCTTCAAGGTAGGTCCTGCAAAGCTACCTGAAAAACTATGCGCAAGTGCATCGAGGGGCAAAAGCTGCTTTAAACACAAAGGATGGTCACACCAAATGTTGCGCTGCCTACAGTATACAGTCAACCATCATATAGCAAACTAGACAGCTACCTACCTAGACAGCATTATTTCTGGATACGATATCATCAGATGACCTTTATCACTCAACATACGTCAAAGAATCATGGATTGTGTCTCAAAACCAACGAGTTTTCTAAATAGCGCCGATGGTGTCCCAAAATACTACCGAGTCGCAGCGCACCAAAATCCCTGCTGATTCGTAAAGATCCTCAGACGCCCAAACATGATGTCTATGTAGGCGGCTCACTAGGACGCAGGCATTATGAGCTACGAGCTAACTCGTTAGCTGCACAGAATAAACAATAATTGCTGTACTGTAACCCGGCACTGATCTAAACCTCTCTAAAACGTTTAATCTCTGGTAATAATGTCAGTGTGGTACAGTGACTCACTCGCTGATGAAGAGGTCTTTCACAGCTCCATTGCTCTCCTGCGCTCTCTGTGCTGCTGTCCGTTACTCGCTGGTGATGAGTCGCAGTGCGGCTGCGCCTGACTGACTCTGTTGCCGCCTGCTGGCCGAGATTCAAAATGGCACCACCTGCACGACGTTGACTGCTGTTTTTTTTGTTTTTTTTTGCAGAGAACGGGAACATACAGAAGAATAAGCATACATCACATAATATCAACCACAAAAATAAAATGGAAACAAATCACAAAAAGAATAAAATAAAGATAAAGATAAGAGGGCCATCATCTACACATGATCACATGAAGAGATCAAAGGCAGAGCAAATCCTAACAGTCCTTATAGCTTTCTTAGTATTAGATACTGAAATTACATTCAAATAATTTTCCATTTATTTTAGGAAGACAGAGAAGACAGGTTTACAGTTGGAAAATTTGCATTTGTGAATGTGAAATTTGCTTAGGAAAAAAATTTAATTAATAACAAAACAGTTATTTTCGTTTGTGGGGTCTGAACCATAATACCCAAATATAATGTTTCTCATATGTACTGAGAAGCCTGGCAAAATCTTACACTTGACAAACACACCAATATCATCCCAAAACTTCTGAGTGTAGTGACATGACCAAAATAAGTGTACCACAGTTTCTTCAGAATTCGAACAAAAAGAGCATGTAAGCTCAATGTCAGATTTAAATCTTTGTATAAACTTCTTTATATGACATTATTTTTGACAGCATTCTCATTTTACAGCATTTTTACACAAGTGCCTAAAACTTTTAAAAGTACTGTAGCTTTGCAGGTAGGTTTCTTGAAGCATCTTGGAGATTTTGCCTCAATTCTTCTGGATTTAGTCTGTCTCATTTTGTTCTGTTTCCTCATGTCATTCCAGACAGACTGGATGATGATCAGATCAGATCTCTGTGTGGAGCACTGGCTGCTGTCAGACCAAAATCTCACTGGATTATTACAATTAATGGCAAAATTAATGTTTAGAAATGTAAACTGATATTTCCCACTAACACACAGCAAAAGATTGAAACAACTGACTTAAAACCATTTTTTAACTGCTGGAAATACTAGTGTTCTAATAATTTTAGCCACCACTGTGTGTGTGTGTGTGTGTGTGTGTGTGTACACACATGACCATGATCTTGGGGTCACATGACCAGGAAGTTATATAGATTTAAATATTTGATAAATTCACTAAAAATACACAAAATCATATTTCCAAAATCCAAGTGATGTATGATGTGTGTCAGGATTTTTGATTTTTTTCATGTTTTTTTTTTTATTGCAAAGAACGGGAACATACAGAAGAATAAGCATACATCACATAATATCAACCACAAAAATAAAATGGAAACAAAGCACAAAAAATAATAAAATAAATAAATAAATAAAATAAAAATAAAGATAAGAGGGCCATCATCTACACATGATCACATGAAGAGATCAAAGGCAGAGCAAATCCTAACAGTCCTTATAGCTTTCTTAGTATTAGATACTGAAATTACATTCAAATAATTTTCCATTTATTTTAGGAAGACAGAGAAGACAGGTTTACAGTTGGAAAATTTGCATTTGTGAATGTGAAATTTGCTTAGGAAAAAAATTAAATTAATAACAAAACAGATATTTTTGTTTGAGGGGTCGGAGTCATAATACCCAAATATAATGTTTTTCATATGTACTGAGAAGCCTGGCAAAATCTTACACTTGACAAACACACCAATATCATCCCAAAACTTCTGAGTGTAGTGACATGACCAAAATAAGTGTACCACAGTTTCTTCAGAATTCGAACAAAAAGAGCATGTAAGCTCAATGTCAGATTTAAATCTTTGTATAAACTTCTTTACAGGGTAGAACCTGTGTATGAGCTTAAAAGAAATTTCTTTAACTTTGTTTGTGAGAAAGAATTTTTGCTGTAGAGACCAGATTTTTTTCCAAACAAATTATTCCAAAAGGAAATCACAGGTGGAACATGTGTGTCAGGATTGTGTGAAGATATCACAACTGGTGTGACATCATCAGGTCACATGACCAGGAAGTTATATAGATTTGAATATTTGAAAAATTCACCAAAAATACACAAAATCATATTTCCAAAATTAAAGTCATGTATGATGTGCTAAAAGTGTTACTGAATATATTACAGATGCCATATCAACTCCTGTTTCTACCAGTTAAAAGAAAATGTTGTAATGCAATGTAATAATGTAACAATTCAAAGTGAATCTCCCATTCACATCTTAAAATCATGTATTAATGTTTTCCCACTTAATTCACATCTTTACATTTTATTTGAATTTATTTGCTTTGCATGTTTTCGAATCTTGGGATGCATATCTTTTTTTTTTTTTTAATCATTTTCATGCACTTTTGAGACAGTCCCTTAATTTGCTTGGCGAATGTCCAACATAAAACCAACTTTACCACACTAAAGCTACTGAGGTTTTTGGAGAAACTACTGTTGGATAGTTGAGGTTAACAGTTTACTTTGTGTTAACTTACCGGTTTAGTTGGTAAACCTGCTTTCTGCTTTTCACCTTGGCGTGTTATTTTTGTAAACACCTTTTTAAAGACAACAACCTGCTGTGGACAGTTTGCTTCTTTCATGGCGGATATTAGACGCAGATGACTAGTGTCCTCGTGTGGCTATAAGAGGAAATACAACTTTTTTAGAAATCACTTTTAGGATCATGTTTAGGACAACCTCAAATACTACATATGTTGGTTTAATAAACCAAAATGGCTTGAATTAGATTGTGTGAATTTCGTCCAATAATTATATTGTTTGGCCTTTACATTTCTGCTATTTCATGAATTGCATTAAAGGCACAATATGTAAGATTTTTTTAAATTAAAATATCCAAAAACCACTAGAACAGTGTTATATATTTTGCTGACTTGTTGTGTACTTACACTATCCCAAATATTTCTAAGAATGTTTAAATCCAGAGAAATAAGCAATTTTAACTAGTGACATGGACCGTTTCCATAGTGTCATTGTGTCGCCTGCTAATGACGTCATAACCCCTCGATTTCCGGTTTTGTTTTGTAGAAAACATGGAAACACCAAAGACGCTTTAATATGTTATGCGTTTTATTAGACAGGTGACGACTGC